CAGACTTCGGGCTGGAGTTGCTCGGGACGGGCGTCGAACGCGGGTAATCGTACGTCAGTTCTATATTTTTTTCAGTGACATAGGACTTAGGCGGCTGTGTATCGACTGGGGGCTGGTCGGTCGGGGCGTGTGGGGCGAGCGGGGCGAGCGTGTGGGGCGTCTGGCAGCAGCACTGACGCTGCAGCACGTGGCGCGTGTTGCACATGATGACGGAGTTCTGCTGGATGTAGGTGGTGTGCAGGGCGGTGGCGGTGGCGGCGGCGGCGGGCGGGAGCGGGGCGGGCGCCAGCACGAAGCCGGGCGGCGGGGGCGCGAGCACATGACACGGCGATGACGTCACCGACTGGAAGTATCTAGGCATATCGGGCGCATCGTGAATAATTACGTCAACTGTCCGCTCGTGTCCATTGTCTTCGAGTTTGGGTCGCGAGTCGACATTGTTTAGCCGCTCCATGTTTTGCGAGGTCACGTCCTCGCTGTCCTGGCGGGGGGCGGCCTCTGTTGTCGCATCGTTCCGACACTCCTCACAGGTGCATGGAGATTCAACGCCGCTCTGGAATTTAAAACATCAGCTATGGAACAAAATTTCGCCTACGTTTCATTTTATGTATATGTCGAATCACCAAATATTATAAGATACGCTAGGGGTTCAATTGAAATTCCGCGACATGAATTTGATAACATTCGTGTTTACTTTCAATAAAAAAATAATATTAGCTTTTCAATTAACTCGCATTTAAAAGTTGATAAAAAATATCACTGGCCACTTTGCAATACGTGTTTGAATAAAAGTTGGCGCGCGCAACTGTCATTTTAAAATTACGACTTAACGTCAGCCGCCAGATTTGTCACGCTTATGACGGCTGGAGTCAAGAAATGTAACAAGAGAAACATAAATATTCGCTCCTATCATTCACAAAAGCAAAAAGAATTTTGTTGTTAATTATACAGATACATGGCATAGAGATATGATACAATTTTCAAACAGTTTTTGAACGAGTTAGATCGCATGCGGAAACACATTCCGAATTTAAACATGCTGTCAAAATAATGATATCTAAAAATAATTTATTCATTTTTTTCTAAATTAAATGTCACATGTTTTTTATACGATATTAAATTTCAAATAGTACAATGCCATCAACCAATAGATTATATTTAATTTAAAATATTACTCGTAACATGTATTATTATTTAAATGATATTAACAGTATAACAAACTTATTTAACTAATAGAACTTTTAAATATAAAAAAAACACCTTTTGAGCCACGAAAACGTTTGGACGAACGCATGTTTTTAATCACTTTTCACAAGCTGCCAGTTCGTGGTCGTTCTGGACGCAACTGAGTTTATTTATAAGATTTTAAACACTAGGTGTATATTATTTTCAAACACACTTCGCGGCCGCCCTTGACTTATTTTCTTCAGTAAAACTGAAATCATATGGGGACTTTTGTACAACTCTAAAGCGCGGTTTTATATGAACCCTGGAAATCTATAGCTTCCTAATAGCTATGCTATTTTTGTTAGGATGATCTTGCGACGCGGAGGTACGATACGTCAGCCTCAGTGAACGCGAACTCGGCAAACTGTGTCTTTTTACGTGAGTTTAATTTTGTTCATGATGATTCAACACATCAAAGATCTTTATTTTACTTTAGGTTAAACGAATTGGCAACATTTTAAACGCTTTGAAGCGTTTGGAGAAGTTACATTAAACTCAAAAATGCAGTCGACAATAAGATACTTTTATTTTATTTAGGACCATTTTAACCATATTGGGCGCCCGGGTGTTAATGTTTGGCGCCTCTAAAAGTTGTACGTTCTTTGGCTGACGCCCTTAGTTACCTGATATCTAAGGTCCTCTACTAAGCCCCTTACCTCCCCGATTAATCCTTCGTCCAGGTCATAAAATCAAGATAATCAGAATCCCATGACTAGGAGACTTCTTATGTCCAAGTGTTTTTTAATCTATATTTTTTTTTTGAAATATTAAAATATTTATTTACATCCTTATTTCTATGAATACATAAACTCTTAAATCTAGGATATAAAATAAAATTAAAAAAAAAAACCGAATAATTAACTAAAATATGTTAATAAAAGTAGTCCCTTTAGGCAAGGTTCCGAAGATACTGGCAGCGTTCCCCCTCTGTACAGCTAAACTAATTCTTTGACCGAGGTAGCTGCCAGCTCTTCGGTCCCCTGTGATGTCGATTAATTTTTTGGAAATGTCCTTAAAAAGTCTTAAAGCGCTAGGACCCCACGGACCAAGGGTCTCGACGCCGAATGGGACAAAATGATATTCGGAGCCTAGACCCCTGTATTTGCATGCTTTTGCATTTTCAGCCGCTTCACAAGCCGCACCCGCTCTGTTGTTGGTTCCATGTAGATGGGAAGGGGCCAGCGTGTCTGAATAGGTTGCATCCCATACCAGCACCCGACCCATGTTCCATGGAATCAAACTCATACCGTCAGGTCTCTTGCCATCGTCTCTTGCTACACCAGTCGGCTCTAGTAGACTTGGCACGTTGACGGTGGCAAGAGACCGACGTATGATATCGTTGAGTGCGGCATGTCTCGAGAAGCGGCCTGCACTTTTTTGGCAAGACAGTCCGTGATGTCCTAGCTTGTCGACATCACTGCCACAGGTACACCTATGAGGACCGCAGACCGGAACCCCAAGCCGAAGACAGGTTGCGATTCGGAGCGTGTCAGGTATGTGGCGAAGGGTACGCGTGAAGCCAGTAACCAGCCTCATGCGTACCCACAGCCAAAAGCCTAGCACGCGCCGAACCTATACTATAATTTAAAAGATTTTCGTAGGTTAATTTGCAAAAGATATCATCCCAGCTCCTCTGTAAATTTGGAGAAACTGGAAAATTTTGGCCTGGGCATGCAATTAAGAAAGCATTTCTAGCTTCTTCCAAGCCAGCAATCTCAAAGTTTGAAGGGAATGCCCTTAAAATTTTTCCTATGAGATTAGCTGAACTATGGACAGAAGATAGGAAGGCTGGTAAAGCAACACAAGAAATTTTGCGGATCCCTAAACCACCATAACGGATGGGTAAGGATGCTTGGGTCCAAGATTGCTCGTTCAGCTGTATATTAAGAATAGATTCTAAGTTAATTTTGATTAAGTCGTCTACATTTGATAAAAGATCTGCGGATTTCCAAAAGGAGCAGCAACGGAGCACATACGTAAATTTTGGAACCAAAAGACAGAATTTTAAGACACAAAGAGCATAATGTGGACTAATTTCATGTAGACGGTATGTAATCTATATTATGTACCTTGTTCCCCTCCTCTGCCTCCTCAGGCACGACGCTGAGGTCGTGGAAGGCGACAGCACGGGCAGAGTCCACACTGGCGCACTCCGGGCACGCGCTGCTCACCGACGCGCTGTCCTGCCAACACACAATGTGCTTTATTCACAAAACATACGGCACATTTTCGCATCACACACTTGAGAAACTATGATCAACTTAAATTGTGTGTCAACATGCGAAAGATATCGCCATCCCTCTCATTGTTTTTGTAAAAACAGAGATAACAATATGCGGTTATTTGACCAGGTTTAAGACTAATATATACAAGACTGCACATTTAAAGTTGTTTTCTATGCCATAAAAACAGATTTTAATTGAAAACATAGTAACTTAGAATATTCTCGTAAATATGTGGGTAAAGATAACAAGGATTTATTATCGGTTTTGTTTTGTATTTGTTTTGAAATGTTAGGTTATGTCTGGTATTGTTAGGTTAGATTCTACCCTAACTTTAATACATGTTCTATATAAAATGTTATATGTAAACGTTGACCGTACGTCCGAATGCTCCGGCGAGGAGCGTCGCTCACGCAGCATGCTATCCAAGCGGTC